CGTTACAAACTTCCATACAAAGTATAAAGATCAAAAATAGAAATACAGATAAAGAAAGGATAGGAAAGATAATATCCCAACTGTCGCCATGGGTTCGTTATAAGGGAAGGTTGGACTGCTCCCTTTCCGGTTCATCGACATACTTTAGCACCCGACCATAGCACCCGACCACAACAAGCAATTTATCGACGAGATGGGGGGGGGNCATGAGATAAAAAATAAACCTCGTCGAGCCCGTAATTGATGTTGACAATAGCATATAGCTTGTTTCTGTTTGGTGATACTTGTAGGTAGTTCTGTGTCCAATGCAAAATTTCAGACAGGTAACTTGGCATGGAGCGGGGTCGCTGCTAATTTTCTATGTTAAATTGTTGATTTTCAAATTATCTTTTTGTTATTGTGTATCAATTTTTAATTGATATTATAAAACAATTAAAACTTAATAAGTCATCAGTTAGATTATATAGCAGCATTCCCCTCTATAACTTGGCTCGTCCTGCACTATTGGGCAAGCGTCTCGCATATTTTATTACCTCTTCTTATACTAAAATTGAAGGAGATTGGCATGGTACAAAATAAACATCGTACTAAATCAATGCATGATCAAGTGCTTAAAAGGAATATTTTTTATTGAAAATTAAGAAGTGTTGCAATAGATAAGTTTTTTTTTTCATATTTGTCCTCTTCATACCAGTCTATAATACCTCCAAATTGAAAATACAAACAGATCGAGAGCAAAATTTCTCCTTCAATGTATCGATAAAATATTGTTGAATATTCTGAATCAACGAAAACAGTAACATATTTTTTCAACGGAATATACTGCTATGACGAATATAGAGTTATATGATTCACGTTGAAGAATACAGGGTCCTATGGTGTGGTATTGCCATATACTTGTTTGTTACAAAATGGGTTCAGGCAATGGTCAAAGACCGCTGACAGCGTAAACAACATCTAAATAATTACATACTGTACGCTTAGGGGCTTGCAATATGACAAATGTTTCATCTTTTCTGAAGATATATATTAATACATTATTATTAATTCTCAAACACACAAATTTACAAGATATTTTCACGTGACCATGTTACAAACACGCTGATGTATATAAAAAAAAATGCACCAAATCGTCTTATGATATTTATTCAAGCTTTACACACCATTATGAATTGCGTGACGCTGATAATACGTTATTAATACGTAGACAGGGTCATCGTGTTACAAACCCTCGCCCTAGATTATATCTGTAAACTTTCTAGGTCCCAAACAAAATAACTAACTCGTCCCATTTAAACTTATTTTGATTCTATAGAAAACAAACGCATGGTGGACTACACATACAACAAATGAAGAGGAAGAGGTAACAAAAAGTCGGGTTAACCTTTTTTTATCTGGAAAGTTTTATCTGTTGATTCATATATTAACTTCCGTATTTTTAAAATCTGAAAAATATCAGCTATATGGATAATACGTTGCTATATTTAGTATAATTGACAGTACAGTGTAATAGTATAGTGATGCTAACAAATAATGCCAGTGTCGATATCTTTTTCATTTGACGACAATATTTATTTTGTTAGTAACGTTACACAATACATTCTAGAACTTTTAGTTGCATAAAAAGGACGGACAATATTAAAGTTAAAATCATAACTGTTCATTCTGAAATAGTATAGAACCAACGATAGAACAGACCTTAGTTCCACATACTAAATGATTTCAAGAGCTCGTTTGAGATGATTTTTCTAATTAAGAACGTGTGTCAATGAAACAAAATCACACCACGTATCTCGGATAGGTTTCTGTAATGTTATTGTTGCTATGCTTACTTTTATTTGGATCTGTCATTAAAACACTCTTTAGCACTATACACTCTAAAAACATAAAACAAGTCGCTAATTGTATTGGAAAGGGGTGATTGGAAGATTGCAGCATTTGCCAAATTTAAAACCTCGCTGTGGTAGGTTGTCAATTATTTCAAAGTAGATTTAACACCGATTTAAGCCCTATAGGCTTCGAAAGTCGTACCGGCGACACTATACCATGTCGGTAAGAACTTTGAGGGTTCACGGCGTCAGTGGTCATCAAAGCGTGACTTGAACGAATTAACACTGGTTGCGGACATCACGTATTCCGGTAGACTGTTCAATGTATCCATAACTCTGCTGTTATGTTCATATTCTTAGTGACATTTAAACTTGACCTCGGTTTCAAGAGCTTCTTGCAAAGTTCTCTGGTAGTTGTGATGGGGAACATGGTGAATAGTTTATCCTTAGTAGCCACATTATCAGTGTTACGTTACCCAGCGAGTTCCACCGGTTCATCACTGACAACGTACACGTTTTACAGACTTGGACACTGTATGGAACCTTCCTTTGTACATAATCTTTCTTTCACAAACTATCTGGTATTGTTTTTGAGATTCGTATGAGCTGTGAGCAAATCAGACGTGTTTGAGTCTATGACAATGTCCTGAGTAGTTAGACCTGACAGGTCTTGCTTGTTAATTGTGAAAACTGAAAAGAAACGTCAAAGTTGATATCACCATGCATGTTTCGGACATCATCTCGGTCTTTCATAATCTTTGCTTTGCGCACATCTTTGTCGGCAGATTCATAACCTTCTATGGCTCAGCTTACATGGCAGATGTCTCATTATCCAAGCAGCTACTGAGTCATCAAAGGAACTGATATTTTGTAAGAAGCAAGCTTGTGTCCTTCGTATCAGTAATACTGTTCAAAACAGATTTTGAGTTGTGTAAAACTCTACTTCGTCACCAATGTTATGAAGTGGACACGTATTACTGGCAGACACATGATTTAAAGTCCTGTATTGTTTCTGTAGTATTTTGAGATACACTTCTTTCCGAATCGAAAATTGTTCTGCGCACTATTCTATGATGGCCACATTTGAAAGGGAACCTGAGGCGTTCCTTTTCCATTTCGAATCGCCTCTGTGGTGTTGTTTTCTGCAACAATTTAGAGAAACCCACCTCCAACAAGGTTTTATAGGACAGTTGGCAATCATATTGCTTTTGCCAACAGATTTGTTCCGTGTTTTGCTTTTTAGAGCTATGTCAACACGCTGTTCTTGGCTGTAATTGATCAAATGACCTGCAGTATATCAAAGATTTGCCAAAGTCTTCGATCTTATTGTTGAACGAATTATCATTCGCAGATAACTTTGTTTTGTTATGTTTTGTTTGTTTGATTTTTGTTTTACATTTTGAAACAGCAGGTACACTATCTTAAACAAAACTTCAAAGCGCAGACGTTCGTATAGTGCATCAATATCACCGTCCAACTGTACATGCCCTTACTCACCAGGTACACTGAGAAATAAAGTCTCGCTGGTATCAGTTTGGCGTCACCGCCTTCGATCACTGACTGACTCATCATACCATTGCGATTCTATGCTGCATGTATCAATTTGTCTGAATCACCTACGTTTGTCACCGGTCTTTTTTTACCCAACTACATATTTTGGAAGAAAATACACAACTTCGCAAGGTGTATACAGTGCTGAAGCCAGTTGAGACGTCCTTGTTCATATTCTTTGTAACTGTTTCAGCCTTTAGTATTATTCTCGGTCAGATGCAAGAAGATAAAAACCATTCAGTTACCTGTATAACGGCGTTGTGGTCTGTCAATTTCACCCTTGGGATTATACATAATCATGACATCTTTTTCGTTCTACAAGAATATTTTTGACTTTATCAGGGGTGAAGCGTTTTCTAGTATAGAAGATGATCGTGTACCTTTTGCGTTTAAGCCTTCTTCCAGATGAGGAACCCATTTTTGTTTTAATATATCATTGGAATTGGCATTCAACTCCGACTGCTGAGTGAGACAAATCTACATATATGACATCGCCGATTGACATGTTTGGTGTCGTACTAGGTTTATGTTTTAGTAATTAATAAAGAACAAACATCAACAGCTGCTGAAAGCTTTATTTGCAGAGTAAGCTCGTAAAATTAGGCATCATCGGAAAAGGAATTGGTATGACTTGCTATGAGGTCGAGTGTTCAGAAATCGGTCAAAATGTTTTGGGGGTATTTAAAAAGAGGGCTGTGCAGATTTTGCATTCACAGCCTCTTCTGGAGGCAGAAGGCGACTTTTGTATTTTGACGCTGAAATTCTGTGCACTAAATCGCAAGTCAAAGCATCAAAAGTTCCCTTTCCAATGACACCAAGTTTACGAGAAAACGTTCTGCTACACTTGTTCGTGTAACGTAGTTCTACTTGTAGTTTAGTGTAATACTTCTAGCAGTTAACACATATAGTCAACCTCGTGTTAATAGTGCCACTATTTTTCTAGTGGGTATTTGGGTTTGTAAAGGGTTGGGTGACTCATCGACGGTAAATATAAAATATTTAGTAAAAAAGGACATTGGAATTGCATGGTAGGGTGTTTACCGTCAAACCAATGTGTAATTAAAACGAGGGGTATTCTATCAGGGTTCTACTGTATCACAATATACTATATATATTCTACTAATACAATGTATGACTAGTATTCATGGCGCTCCGTATATCTCAGATCGTTTACTTTTATAATGATATTCTGATAATTCAAATGCAGTAAATGTTTCAGTTAAATCCATACAATATATAGTATCCTTTTGACAGAAGTCTCTGTTGTTGAAGATAATCGAAGTTGAATGTATGACACATTTTTTGTTGCTTTTTCGGGAAAAAATAATTATGGATCACTTCTTTACCTGGATTTCATGTTATTATTAGCGTTTTGACACCAATGAAACGCCTCGTACGAATATATACACAATTAAAGGTGCATATGCATATTATACTCGACACTGCCAGCATCCGCACTAATTAATCCCCGTCCAGCATGTGTATCGCGATTATAGTTAGTGTATATCTAGTTTGTTGCAAACTATTCACAAAAATCTTTATCTCTAAATCATTCTGTTACCTAGTAATAAAACACGTGTCTCTTAGAATTTGTGTTACCACCACCCCCACCCCCAACAAAAAAAATGAATATCGAAAAAGCATTTGGACATTTTGTGTTTTATGTGCTTTCCGAAAACAACAATTCATTGAGTGTCGCGTCATGCATTGCCAGATTCTATCAACAGGCTCTCTAAGTTTCCGACAAAATATTTTCATTCAATGAGTTTTACTATTACGACAGAACAGTATAAACAAAAACACATCCTTCATTAAAATGTTATGTTGGTGACGCCAATATTTTTTTCCAAGCTGGTTATAAATTTCGCAGAATTATTTTGAGCCAAGTCTAGTATTCCCGACTCATTCAGTGCCGCAGCAACATCGAAGTTGTACTTGAAGGTATCGTCCACACGCTGATCCAGAAGGAGCTTCAGGAACACACTTCCAATTAACACCACAACAAGTAAGAAGACCGTCGCTATGCGAGACAAAATCAACATCTTCGTGTCAATACTGATCTCATCCTTGTCGGTGGTGGCGCTAATGCTGTTGAAGTCTGTGCTCGTCAAATGTATGTTATCACCATGCATTTCATTAATCTCGTTCATATCGACCAGTTCATATGTATGTATTCCATTTTCTTTTCCAGTAGATACTGACCCGTTCATCGCTCCTGGAGGTACCGACCCATTCAACTCCCGAAGTTTATAGCCATTGGCGATGATCTTTTGATCGTCTGGCAGGTTGCTTCTTGTTGGAACGTTCCCACCTTTGTTTGAAGAAATATAAAAGCCAATATTTCAAACTTTTGCAAAAAAATAATCAAGTATTCAAGTGGGTTTTTTATGATAATATTCACAATTCGCTTATGCTTGCGATATTTTGTTTATGATCGTAAACACTCAATATAACATAGCAACATGCGTGATTCTAGCAAGGTTACGAAAGGATATTAAAACGTTCGTAGCCCAATTAGTTGAGCATGTCGTTTTATTTTACCGGCAACTTATTCTATTTCACCGATTTATGGGGAGTTTAGAACTTCTTCGATACTAGAATGAATAAGATTTGGTTGCTGTAGAAAACCCGAAGATTTTCTCAATCGGAAAAACAAGTTTAAGTTCAAATGAAGGAACGCTCAATAGTCAATTGTGATCGTACATTTTTATCGTAAAAACTATATTTATATAAACTTTATAGATTTTACAACAATTAAAAAACAAGTTATTTCAACTTGTATGAATCGCTCTTGTTGGCCCGGATGTTAGCGCGCGAGGGGTCTCAATGAGGGAGGAAACCGGAGTACCCGTAGAAAACCCATGTGGTCGGGCAAGTGACCCCATACCATTTCACGTCCGATCGGGGAATCGAACCCCGGCCACCTTGGTGAAGGCAAGCGCGCTATCCACTGCGCCACCCGACCACCCAAATTATCACTGGGAACCCTTCTGTAATTGAAGAGGCAAAACACTTGGAAAGTTTCTCCGGATGGCGTAATCTTGAAATAAGTAAATGTATTCTAAGAAGGAATTAATTGTGTATCACTGACGAAAACGAAAAAAATATGTCCACAAAAACTGTTCTTCCTTCACTACATAACTTTGTCTAAAGGCAACTTATCATTTCAGACCTATTTATGTGAAGAGATAATAAGACAATGTCAGTCATACCTAACACATTTTGTATGAATAACAAGAAATAAACACTCCTTGCATAAATAGATTTTGATATATATTTGGAAACACATGCTATTCCTACCTTTTATCTCACTATACAGAATGACGTCTTTTACTAGTCCTGCTCGTCCCTGTGCCTGTTGAATATCCACCATTATAAAGCATGATAAAAGAAAAAACACAAACTTTCCTTGAAGCCAACATAGACTCGACGATTAAAATAACAACAGCGAGATGTTCTCTGGCACACGAAACAATTAACTTAATCAGATTGAACGATTAAATGCAGCCTTTGAAGTTAACAAAATTAATTTTCGAAAGTAATCGTAAATAGTGTTCCAATTTCACTCTTTCTCAAATCTTTTTTTTTTTTATTATTTGGTGTCCCTCAACGCGCATATCTTTAACTGCACGGCTGAGTATGAGCTTATTTTGTTGACTGACCTACTTTAGATTACTAATATTTAGCCCAGTGTGACTATCGTTTTGATGTACGACTGAACAAACTTCAATTATTACTTATAATTTGGACAAGCATGACCATATTGTGCTGATGCCCGATCTACTGTAAATATGTGTATAATCACAATGGAGTCTGCACTAAATATCGATGAAATCTAAACTAAATAACAATGTAAAATACACTAAACAACAACGTATTCTGCAGTAAATAACAATTATCAGCAAAATGACAGAATACACTGACCTTGTTAACCTCCTCTTGCCAATCTAGACTCTGAGCTTTGATGAGCAGCAGGACGGAATGCACAAAGACCCCGACACAGGCTCCCCACCAAGCTCCTGCAGAAATGTGATGCCGCTTTTGTTTAATTGATCATAAAACTCCACATTCGATACTGCACAAACAGATTATTCAAATATATATATATATATATATATATATAAATTGGCTAGATCGCACGAATTCAGAGAATTCTTTTTATAACTTTGTATAGTTGGCTCTGACCATTCGAAGGACATAATTATGTTTAAACCTATTCTCTGTTGTTTGTAGTTCAAACATGATTCAGGTAATCGTTTTTACCTTCGTCCTCCAGCTCTGTGAGAAGAAGCAGTGGAATTGATATTGATAAAGCCACTAGATAGAAGGAGAAAAAGCTTGAGAGAGCGCCGTAAATCTGATGTCCGGCTCCCCTCAGTACGCCACACAAGATTTCCTATCAAGTAAAAAGGACAACAAAATACAATAGCGTTAAAATACAAAGACAAAAGGTTGATAACCACGGCAACACGAACCGTATTCTAGAATGCTACTATGATTGGATCCGGGGTCCAGTCCCGTCCCCTTTAATATAGTTCTTGAGTCATAACATGTAAATGGTTAAGATTTCATCCAATTACCATATTTATGAACAAAAGCGGGACATCAAAATTTGCCTCGTGTTTTGAATTAATCGCTCGGTAATAATACTGAACCGGGTGAGATCACCACCCTATACAGTAACATATTATCTTTCTTGGGATGACGAGTCAGAAGCTTTCATGCTCCCCACAGAATTTGGCTCGGCCCCTTTATTGGATACTTATGTTAAATATTATTTCAATAGAAATTATTTTGTCATGATCATTGGAATATACTTACTTTTGTATGTTGAAATATTTCATATATTGCTGCAATAATGAGCAATGTTGAAGTTAGAATTTGAACCTCTCTGAAATTTAAGCATATGTTGCTATACAATTTGTAGCGGTAAACATACATTCATAAACATAATAACGATACACTAGAGGACAGCACAGGCTAGTATGTCGTCTTCAATGATATATAGCGTAATGAAATTCTTTGAAAATATCCATAATTTTTCTGTGATCACAATAAAATATTTATAAATATACTGACTCTTTGTTGCCTGTTTTGGATATCTATATGCTTCATATATGAAAATTATGCAATTGTACATCCACTATGTTCATAGATCAAGCCTGTTCTGAAAAGAAAAACAAAAATACCCCCCATATTATATCATGTCCATATTCAAGAAGATGTTTTGCTTTAGATCGCGTGAAATATTGACTCTGTAATGATTAGAAGTACTCCGACTTTATTTCTAGTCCATAAACAACAAAATGTTTTACTATATATCGCGTAAAATATTGGCTCTGTTATTATTAGAAGAACTCCGACTCGTTGGGATGGGTACTCACAGATCAGGACTAAAGAGAACAGGAATGGCATCCTTAAAGATAAACGTTGCCAGGGCTACGATTGTTGCTTCTACGACTGTTGGCAAAGAGAGAAAAAGATCTCGGAACTTGCAGCAATTAGTACGCTGCCTACACTTGTACGTGGCAGATAATATAGAAGAAGAAAAAAAGTAAATACATGGAAAAGGTTACACTTTCATGATTGAAAAGTTTTCGTTTGAACTAAATTATTTGTTTATAGAAAGTGGAAAATTGACTACAACCACATTTTATGACGATTTCATGAGAAAGGAACAGGTACAAACCTCTTATAAAGGATACAATCTCAATTATTTCATTATCATATGAAATAAAAGCAGCAGGAAGCATTATAAAGTGTATTTTATCTTCATAACAGCTATATGATATAAAACTCATTAAGAAAAAATAACAACCTTACCGCCAACAAATAAAACCACCCGGTATGTGACCTTGGCTTTCTCAGCATCACCGGCCCCGAGATGACTACCAACAATTACAGAGGCGGAAGTTCCAATTGCATAAGGGATCTTTGAAATAAAATAAAATATATATTTGATATACAAGTCCTAATTAGCTCATCAATGTCAAGAGATTTGTAAAGTGCATACTAATATGACAAAGTTCCTATACTATTGCAATGAAGTAGATATACCTGTATACGGATTTGTTTACAAGATTCCTTTAGATTACGCCAAAATATATCTGCTGAGGAAAAGAGCATGTAAATAAACTAACAATGTTGGACTAATTAAAAGACAAAGGCATTATATTTGATAAGAAACCCTTCAAACAATCAGTATTAGAACCACAAAGGTTGTCTACAAATGTCCAATGCACTGTCCATTAGCCAGCTATGTGTATATCTCCTTGTTTAGTATTATGCTCATTACTGTGCCTTGTGCTTTTGTGTCACTTCCCCGAGTTTTATTTTGAAAACAAGTGACATTTAAAGGTTTTGACGTTGATTTACACGTCAAATATTTTTTTATAAGTGTCTTCCTGTATTTGTTACCATTTGTTCATATTTTGCCCTAGTTTAATCGATTTTATATCAAATGATTAAATCAGTTTAGGTTACTATTTGTAATTCTTTTGCATTTATTACGACATTCTGCTCATTGTGCTGACGAAGTTGATTATAGAAACAAATTAGTAGCGGAGTCACGTCTGACTGGATTTTGAGTTTACTTTAAAATGGGATTGCAATAGAAAACAATTCACAAAATAAAACATAAAAAAGAAAATAGGTACAAAGTTAGTCCCTTCAGACCATTTGACATAAAACCGTAAAACGGCCAAATTATTCTCCATCAATACGGTTTACAAATGGTTGTGATGCTATTATATTACATGACTACACCTCTCACCAAGCTGATAAACACATTACCATCAAAGTCAATGTAGCCACGTTGTATACAATGGTAAAAGCCGCAAGTTGGGTGGCACCTAGCAAGCCTGCAGTGGAAATCAGTTAAATGATTGATATTTTTTTTTTTTTTTTTTAAATAAATTTCAGTTTCCCGATTATACTGCAAACGATTTATCGACAATAACTGCATTCACAAATGACAGTTCCCCATAACCCATATACAATACATACTACATAAAGCTGATTAGTATTTTAAATCAATTATGATTATTTTAAAGTTCACTATTTTTATTGTTTTCATAGTTAAAAATTTACAGTTGAATTAATGGCTAGTTTCTAAAAATACTATGCTTAAAATAAGCAAAACCAGGTTTAGAAAATCGTGCCCTAATGATAGTAATATACAACGTATACATACATACACATACATGCGTTTATATGCGGGGTAATTGTTCTTCGTGTTCCTTTATCTCTGCCGTATTTTTTCTTCTAATCAATTAATGAAAGTATCCACAAGAAAGATACAGTCTGCTTCTGTAATGTTTTCATGTTTCAGTAAAAGCATTTGCAGTTTTCGCGAACTTATTTTTAAATATTATTATTATGCATAGATTATTCAGTCAGATTGATGTTTTGTGTACCAGATAGAAATACCAGGATTTCATAGCACCACCACTCCAAACACAACATCAGCATCCCAGCAATGGCAAGAGTCAAGTAAGTTCCCCACTCAAACAGACACTCCCTACTCCATCCTTTAACAAAGCAAAGAAAAAGTACCGTATATCAATGTGTGTATACTAAGTATCGTATCATGTTGGTTTACAGGATCGGTTCAATGTGGATATATAAAGTATCGTTTATCATTGTGTTTATCAAGTATTGTATCATGTTGATGTACAGGATCGTATCAATGTGGATATACAAAGTATCGTATATCATTGTGGATATACTAAGTATCGTATATCATTGTGTTTATACTAAGTATTGTATCATGTTGATTTACAGGATCGTATCAATGTGCATATACAAAGTATCGTATATCATTGTGTGTATACTAAGTATTGTATATCAATGTGGATATACTAAGTATCGTATATCCGTGTGTGTATACTAAGTATCGTATATCATTGTGTGTATCCTAAGTATCGTATATCAATGTGGATATACTAAGTAGCGTATATCAGTGTGTGTATACTAAGTATCGTATAGCATTGTGTGTATACTAAGTATCGTATATCAATGTGTGTATACTAAGTATCGTATATCAATGTGTGTATACTAAGTATCGTATCATGTTGGTTTACAGGATCGGTTCAATGTGGATATATAAAGTATCGTTTATCATTGTGTTTATCAAGTATTGTATCATGTTGATGTACAGGATCGTATCAATGTGGATATACAAAGTATAGTATATCATTGTGTGTATACTAAGTATCGTATCAATGTCGATATACAAAGTATCGTATATCAATGTGTGTATACAAAGTATCGTATCATGTTGATTTACAGGATCGTATCTCTTTGGATATATAAGAATCGTATATCAGTGTGTGTATACTAAGTATCGTATATCATTGTGTGTATACTAAGTATCGTATATCAATGTGGATATACTAAGTATCGTATATCAGTGTGTGTATACTAAGTATCGTATATCAATGTGGATATACTAAGTATCGTATATCAATGTGGATATATCAAGTATCGTATATCATTGTGTGTATACTAAGTATCGTATATCATTGTGTATATACTAAGTATCGTATATCATTGTGTGTATACGTATTAACTTAACTTTATTTATTTTGCAACAATTATGAAACAAGTTGTTTTAGCTTATTCATTGTATTAATCACTCTTGTTAGCCCGGATGTTAGCGCACTAACAACGTAGTGTATTATATGTGTATTCAAAGAATTATATTAATGTGTCCATGCGAAGTATCGTATCAACGTAAATATACAAAATACAGTGTATCAATGTGCGCATTTAAAATACCGTGTATCTATGTGCTTATACAAAGTTTTTTTAAACGATGGAATACAAATTGCCATCAAAAAGTGTGGGAAAATAAAGTATAGACATAAAGACGTAATTGATAGGTATATAACGATCTTGCCTTCCGACTATTACATACAAATGAAATTATATAAATCATCAGTGTTTTCTTTTTTTGTGTGAAAACAACAGATTTGTAATACTGTTCTTACATTACCTGACCACGTGTCTTTGTAGACCCCAGCAGCCAATACGTAAATGACTTGCACGATAGCAAATAGCCACCGTGAAATGCCTAATGCTAGACCAGCACCACTAAATAGACATAAACACAAATCATTAGTAAAACAACAATAATGTTCAACATAAACTTTTAATCAATGTCCATATTGATAATTGAGTATACTTTATAGCTGCTAAATTCGTAAGAATTAAATTTCTCGAACTCACTTCGTTTTGTCAGGTTTTAATTTCAATGGAAAATCGCAAGAAATTCCAGTACTCGAGACAAGTGGAAAAGAAAATGAATGAAATACATTAAGAAGATATTTGATATGATGATACTGACAATGTGCCCATGTCCAGGTAGAAGACGAACAACCAGTGGATCCCGACATTAGCCAGTGCCGAGCCCAGCCCCATGAATACGTTCGGTATCACGATCCCCTACAGGTATAAAACAATACGTGTGTATCTAAAGCAATGACTATATGACTGATTACTAATCAATAGCGAGAGTCTTGGCAGGGAATTTCAATAATAATCACGTTCTTTTATATAAAACTTTAAAAGTTAATACTTGTAATATATATGTATATATATATATATGTCACGTGCTTGATTCTGGACACACTTACATTGTTATGGACTCATCATTTTCCATCATGTCACGATTGTTTACATACATAAGTTCCTATATACGTACCTGACATTGTAAATACCGTAACAGTATGCACGTGAGGGCATGACCCTGAAATCATAATCATATTTATGATGTTAGTACACTGTATGCATGAGAGTGACCCTGTAATCATAGTAAGATCTGTCATTTACGTTTGCACGAGTGGGCGTCGGCGTGTTGTAATCATGATCACATGTATCGTTGATTTAAGTGTATAAGTGAGATTATGGCTCTGAAGTTATAATATGCTATTGAAGTCTTATTAGATAACTAAAACAGTATGCCGATGGTAACGCAAATATGAATCAATAGGTAGACAGGTACATGTAAGCATGGGGCTCCCGACGGGATAATGGAATGTTCGATTTCGCGACCTTCCGACCAAGGGGTAATCGGTTAACCGTTGATAACCCTACTTTATAGTTGAATTTGTCTCCTTTGCATTACTGTTTAAATAAAAGGCATTAACAGAAATTCATATTCCTGAAAACTGAATCTGACAATCATTAATTGACAATATGGAATTTCGCCAAATATGCTCATTTGTGAATAACCTTATGAAATGCAAACATCATAAGATAAATACATACTCAGGTATTTAAAATGTATTGGTAACTAAACAAATAAGAGACAAAGATAATAAGCATGTCGTTAACGAAATACCTTGACGAGTAGGCTCTTATATATACGTTAAGTCTTACCGGTAGTCCAAACGAATAAGCTGTGGCATGAAGGCCTGCCAACCTATAATATAATAGAGATTATGACCATGAGTCTGTCCCATGATTCCACAATGGACATACTTAAAGAAATGGTGAAAAGAATTAGTTATTCGGGCAATACATTGTATATATACTTTTTTTAATCAAATATAGAAAACAAATATTACATCAATTATAAAAGCAATCGTCACTACTATTTTGCTAACTTTATTATATGAATATTGTAAATGTAATTATGCTACGTACTTTATTCTTCACATTTGTCATTAAAAATCTACGTTTTGAGGAAATAAGGATATCATTTTTTTTTAAATCAGTAGAAATAAATACTCTTAGTCATTGTTTTATTGAAAATGTGTAAGTTCAAACGATAGAGGCAGTTGATATGTCGATAAAATTGTCTGATTTAAGGAAGCGTGGTGTATGTGACAAGGCCTCATAGGTATGGGATATGTGAAAAGGGCTCACCTGATTAGAGGAAGCATGGATAATGGAAGGACTTGTCTGATTACACACAAGGATGGAGCATATGGCAACTGTTACTCTCACTAAATGAATGAAGTGTGGATTGTGTGGAGTGTGTGGAAAGGTTAACAAGGTAACGCGGAAAACTGAGTATATTAAAGGGTTCATCTGGTCACCGGATGTATGGAGTAATGTTTAAGGTACCGCCTAAGTATAGAAAGTATTAATATATAAAAGGCTCCCGTGATTATAGAAAGTTTACGAATATGTGGGAAAGACACCTGCACACACACCCGTCTCCTGCTTAAGCAAAACAATTATCTAGTTCATGTGTGTTGGAGAGAGTTGCCTGAGTACAAATATTTTGACTGTTTGGTAAAGAGTCGCTAAGTACAGGAAATATGAATGATATGTGAAGAACTTGCCTGATCACAGAAAGCTTGAAGATTACACACAACACTCATCTGAGTGTTTAAACTAATGAATGTACATGTATGTGGAGAGGACTCACCTGGACACCTCTGAGTGTTTGAACTATGGACATGTTTGTGGAGAGGACTCTCCTGGACACCTCTGAGTGTTTAAACTATGTACATGTTTGTGGAGAGGACTCACCAGGACACCTCTGAGTGTTTAAACTATGGAATGTATGGGGAGGGGACTCACCTGGACACCTCTGAGTGTTTAAACTATGGACATGTATGTGGAGAGGACTCAGCTGGAGACCTCTGAGTGTTTAAACTATGTACATGTATGTGGTGAGGACTCACCAGGACACCTCTGAGTGTTTAAACTATGGAATGTATGTGGAGAGGACTCACCAGGACACCTCTGAGTGGTTAAACTATGGAATGGACATGTATGTGGAGAGGACTCACCTGGACACCTCTGAGTGTTTGAACTATGGACATGTTTGTGGAGAGGACTCTCCTGGACACCTCTGAGTGTTTAAACTATGTACATGTATGTGGAGAGGGCTCACCTGGACACCTCTGAGTGTTTAAACTATGCACATGTATGTGGAGAGGACTCACCAGGACACCTCTGAGTGGTTAAACTATGGAATGTACATGTATGTGGAGAGGACTCACCTGGACACCTCTGAGAGTTTAAACTATGGAATGTATGTGGAGAGGACTCCCCTGGACACCTCTGAGTGTTTAAACTATGTACATGTTTGTGGAGAGGACTCACCTGGACACCTCTGAGTGTTTAAACTATGTACATGTATGTGGAGAGGACTCACCAGGACACCTCTGAGTGTTTAAACTATGGAATGTACATGTATGTGGAGAGGACTCACCTGGACACCTCTGAGTGTTTAAACTATGAAATGTACATGTATGTGGAAAGGACTCACCTGGACACCTCTGCCTCCTGTCCAAGCAAAAGAAGCAAATGTTCCGTGTTGATGAAAATCGCTATGCAGGGAAAGCATGCGAGGAACAGGATGATCAACCCTATTTTAATCAATAAAACTTCCGTTATTCTACAAGTAAACTTAAGGATTGAAGGAAATGCCATTTTCATCTATATGATTGTATCGGAATGATTTATTTTTATATCAATGACAACAAAATAAAATATTTTGTCTTAAAGAGATAAGAAAAACGTGGTACAGCCTCAGAATAAGAAAATAAATTTAAATCAAATAGTATACTACCGTATAGAGCTATGGCGGTTACGCGACTGTATTTCTCCAAAGTGGCTCTTCCATTTTTTTGTGTTTTAATTTAATAAACACTTTTGAGTTAACTTTACGTTTATTTGGATTGAATATTTTATGTGATTTTATTGCTCATACAACGCAAATAATAAACACATAACTGTAATAACATGGAGTTTGTTCCTGAGAATATGAAAATAATTACTACGCGAATAAAAGTACCTGAAGCTGTACGAACTAAAAAATGTACAAATATGCCGGCTTGATCTGTAGAGAATCGATGAACATTAAAATGTTACAATAAACTGTATACGTTCTTTGTAAAAATTAAATACATGTATATCGATATCAATATCAACTTTATTAATAAGTTTCTTATAAAACACTTTATTTTATTACTTTCTTTTTAAATAATTTAACTTTACTGCGCTGTATTTAAAGAAGACAACGACCTGAAATAACAAAGTTTACCGTAACGTGATATTCATGAATTAAGTATGATCTAATATGACGCCATAAAATCCGTAAAGGACCACGTTGACGGAATTTTAAACTTTAAGAATAACTTGTAAATAAAAGTGGGCTTTCATTTGCAATCTTCGCCTTTGATCGTGTCATAAATGCTATATTTGTTTCCATTGACGGGGGAGGCAATTGGTTCTGTCCCAAGGCCAGAAAATACCAAAGTCTTTAAAAAAGGTAGTTATTATTCCCTACTTAACGTTCAGCATTTAGGGTAATGACAACAACTGGTTCATCCGTTGTCAGTATATGGGCCGGATGGAATGCTGTGCTTGGTGCCTTCGGCATAGTATTTCAGTCAGATAGCACTATAAAGTCAGCGTCAAATCCGAGCTATCACAAGGAGGCAATTACACCAGCATTACCTGTCACCGGCACAAATACGCACATGTTCGCTTACACAACACACATGGAGGCACGTCCTCAAATGACCTTACCTGTCAATAGGACGTTAAAAAAACTGAAACCTAAACTTTTTATGAATTTTTCAAATTTAGAAAAATGAGACTTATCTTAAATCACTTAATTTCATATTGTTTCTTTTACATACGACCCCAGTTTCAGGAATAAAGAAAAACTGTCAGAGAGCAACGTTTCAGACATTTATTAAAATAAGGAACTGTGACCGATGATAAATGCACACAAGTGCTGGTTTTAGTTCAAAAGTGTTCAGTATCTATGCAGAACACGTTTACAATTAACCATATGACATTGAAATAACCCCGTGTATAACAGTCCTACAGTTTATGCGGGTTAGTCTCTAGATGTGATAACTAACAGCTGACGTCTGTATGAATTGATCACCGCAGTAAAATGCCCATTAGCAGCATTTGACACAAAAAAAATGCATACATATCACAAAAAGCCCGTAATGCAGACTATGCTGCGTTTCAACAGATACATCAACGCAAGCCTTAGTCAATATAAATGAGGGGCGCTCTGGCGTCTGCTTCATGAAATGTCATGTGGTAAAATGATGGGCAATGTCTTTTTGGACAAAAAGACATGATCATAACCAATTTCATCTAGACCAAGCAAAATGTCTCAAACATCGAAGCATGATAGTGTAATTGAAAGTGCGTCAGAAATAGCACTAATGTTGAAAAACATATACCTTTGCATGATGTATTTTGTCTTAATTTGGTTTGGAATTATTAATCCAATGTAATATACATCATACAGTTTTATTTCGAGAGCTAGGTATTGTCAAACATACAAAGAGAAAAATGCACGAGAGGTAACACATGGCTCTTCTGTTTTCTCCCGACGGTAATGACGAATAGCGGGTCATGGGCTTATATAATTGCATTAATAGCAAATGTCATTTGAACAGTGTTCTCTGATAAAAGTGTTACCTAATGGCCACTCTAAACTGTCACCACACTAAAAGGTTTTAACTTTAGTAGTATAACATTTTAATGACAGCAGGCAAACCAGAGGTACTAAGGGGAACAAAGGGCAAACCAGAGGGGCCAAGGGGAACGAAGGGCAAACCAGAGGTACCCAGAGGAACAAAGGGCAAACCAGGGGTACTAAGGGGAACAAAAGGCGAACCAGAGGTACTAAGAGGAACAAAGGGCAAACCAGGGGTACTAAGGGGAACAAAAGGCGAACCAGAGGTACTAAGAGGAACAAAGGGCAACCCAGAGGGACCAAGGGGAACAAAGGGAAAACAAGAGGGACCAAGGGGAACAAAGGGAAAACAAGAGGGACCAAGGGGAACAAAGGGCAGACCAGAGGTACCAAGAGGAACAAAGGGCAGACCAGAGGTACCAAGAGGAACAAAGGGCAAACCAGAGGTACCAAGGGGAACAAAGGGCAAACCAGAGGTACTAAGGGGAACAAAAGGCAAACCAGAGGTACTAAGAGGAACAAAGGGCAAACCAGGGCTAATCATAGGTGTCTGGATATATACAATCGAAACGAAGAGCAGATGGTAGAGAAAGTAAATAGATGAGATGTTTTTTTTTATTTTTTCTATTCCTATTTTAAACAAAAGTTGACTGTCTGGCTATAATATTGTTTAAAAACAATCGTACAAAATAATGTCCTTACCTCTTTGTAAGATGATTCCAACGCCGAACTGGTTACCGCTGCCGTATGTCTGAAACAATCGCTTCTGTTAAAGAATTCACAAGCATCGCAGACACGTAGTTATTTCTCGCACAAACAATCTGCTACAATCATGGAATCAAAGTAAAAATATACAAATATATATAACAGATCTTCGAGAAATAAGGACATAATTTATATTCTGTACAACTGATTATTATCCTCTTTTCTAGAAATTGCTCGCCCGTAGTTATAATAATTACGTAGTACAATAATGCATGGTTACGTTGTTTAAGGGATTCGTTACCTGGGGAAACAGTGTGTCGAATGCAGAGGACAGCCCGACCATAACAGATGTCCCCAAGACATTGGTGATCTGAAACGAAAACCTCATCGCTAAATAACAACCAAATTGTCCTTTTAATCCGAATATTTTCTTTGGATCGGATTTCCATAACGACAATAGCATTCGAAACATATGTTGATTTGATTTTTCCGACAATGCTTCGGGGGTGCAATAGTTTTGTTAATGAATAGATTGTTCTCGTTGAGGGTCATTTGAAGAATATGTTATCCTTTTATGTTAAAGAAATATAAATAATTAATCTGAGATTTTGAAATATAATGTTTTATTAATGTGTACATTTGATAACCATGGCAATTGATTGCATGTAAACCAAAAATGTTACTAATGTTACATATTTAGTAGTTAAGTTAAGCGTTGAAATGATCCCAAAACTCCAAACAAGATTAGTTGCTATTGAGGATGCTCTATAGAACGTTCAAATATCGGCAAAGTAGGTCACTGCTATCTCGATGAAGTTCTATTTAGTTCCTTTTTTTTCAGTAAAACACAAATGTCTAGTTTATGAACGTGTGTTTTAATCTTAATGTAAACTATGATTGGTAGGTTAATATGAAAGTCTTCCATACAGTGAACTTGAGAGACTGTTTCGACATTTCCTTGAGTATACTCAAAAAGTCTTGTTCAAAAAACGACCTGGAATAGAATGGAGAATCAAGTTCTTAAACATCAAAAGTCTTAATTTGAAACCTATTTTCATTTTAACAAACTGTGAAAATCCCCTGTCCATTGCATAATATGAACATGCCACATTTAACATCAATAGAACCAGACCTAACGAGATTATTCAATATTTAGTAGAAATACCTCATCTACTAAATGGTCAGTCCTCATCTCACCGTATAACAGTATTACTATTTCAGTTGAATATTTAGCCACGAGGCTATTTAACACTAGACTAGAATAACGAAGTAATGAAGTACCTGCTTGTTGCATCTGGACATGAGACTACTTCTTACTAGTGTGACCTGCTCCAGTGAGCATAAAACATTAAATTGCTTATCCATACAAATGATCATCGAACTCCTTAATTACATCAGTATTCAAGTCGCATCAGTAATGGATATATATCTGTACGATTTGATAACAAATTGTTTCCTAAAACTATGGAAGGAACACCTGGGACCATTGTACGAATTCGGAATGAGCTTACCGTGGTTGAGAGGGATGCCCCATCCAGAGCCTCCTTGCTGAACTGTCCACAGAATGCAATGCTGACACAGGACATGGAGTACATGGATAGGTAGGTCAACACCTGTCATAGCACACAACAATGGCAGTAAGTAAGGAAGCAGATCCTCTTATCGAAACAGCTAAGGACAAATTGCATGTCAAAGAAGTAGCAGCAGCAACTTCATTTCGTCCATGAGAAAAATTCAAGTCCAAGACAGTGATATAGTCTATGTGTGCGAGCAGGCTTTTTAGTTACTAATACAGTTTTCTACTGATTGAACTTTTTAATAGATTTTTGAATAGACTTTTACAATTGAGTTTCATATTCATTCTCAGTAGGGTTCCTCTCGTATGCACATATTTATCATCTTTAAAACTTAAAAAATCAAATAATTCAACCTTTTCTGCTAGAATGTTTGCCGTTGATCAAAGAACAGTGTGTAGATATCTTTGAGTGTCGACAGTTCCTATCGAGGACGTGACCGATAGTGTATCGTACCGTTATCCCGATAGTCGAAAGACATGACAGAGAGATTTTGTCCATTGGCCAAAAGTGACGTAGGACGTGACAAAGTAATTGTATCATATCACACCCCTGCAGGTTGATGATCGGGAAAAGAATACACCTGCTGTTACACACTGCATGTATCGTAGGAGGCGACTAATGTTGGAACCCCCTGCAGAACTGGGGATTTGCTTTGGTGTCCTCAATTTGGGAACACAAAAGCGACCAAAATAAATCTGCTGTACCCATTGCAATATTTGTGATCATTATCTTTCTTTCTACTTCTAACTACCTCTTATTCCCTAGCGCCTTGCTTGACAACCCCTCACTTTTGGCCTTAATGTTGAGCGTTCGCCCAGCTGAGGAAGGCAATGGGTTCTGTCCCCAGGTCGGGACATACCAAAGTCTTTAAAAATGGTAGTTGTTATTCCCTGCTAAATGTTCAGCATTAAGGGAAATGGTAACAACTGGTGCACCCGTTGTCAGTGTAATGTGACCGGGCGGAATGCTGTGCTGGGTGCCTTTTGCATGGTATTTCAGTGAGATAGCACTATAAAGTCGGCATCAAATCCGCGCTATCACAAGGAGGCAAGCACAACAACATACCCTGTCTCCTGCATACACACATGCAAGCATGCATATACTACACGCATGAAGGCACGTCCTTAAATTACCTTATCTGTTAATAGGACGTTAAACAAAATTAAACCAAACCAAGTATCATACCATTTTAATGGGCCATGAACGTCATGAAGTTGACAATAATATTGCCAAGACTTTTTCAGAAAGCAACAGAGCGATCGTTTATCAAACTATTGCCCATAACAGTCGGAGGACGCGTCATGGATTCTTTATTATTGACCACGATGACTTAAGGACTTTACAAAGAAAGTTTACCATACCTTTACTTTTAGTAGGGAACGTGACAGAGGGAATGTATCATATCTTTAGCCTTAGTAGGGAATGGGACAGAGAAAGGGTGTCATACCTTCATCCTTAGTAGGGAACGTGACAGAGAAAGGGTTATCATACCTTCACCCTAAGTAGGGAACGTGACAGAGAAAGGGTTATCATACCTTCACCCTAAGTAGGGAACGTGACAGAGAAAGGGTTATCATACCTTCACCCTGAGTAGT